CTATATCTGCCCAATGACCTGATTGAAAAATATTTTGATATTAGAATATGTCTACCTTTGCGTGTGTTCATTAAATGTTTAGACTAAACTAAAATAAATGTAGGGAAATATATCAAGTTGACCTAAACCTTTCTTTGAATTATTTTTTATTAAACAGATAACAACTGTTCATTTTGGTAAAAAATGGATTTTCCTTAGGTGAAGGACAATTTTTCTAAAACTCACCAATGGTTTATGAATCCATTCCGACATTCAAAGTTAGTTTCCGTTTTTTTTTTCTAAAACGTTTTTTTTTTTTTTTTTTTTTTTGTGATATTCTCTTAAGAGATTGTTTAAAAGTTAAGCCATCTAAGGAGACCACGTAACGTGATGGCAAGCACAAATTCCAGAATAATTGTGGTAACTGCCGTTTTGGTGGTAAAATGAAATTTTTAAATATTTCAGTGAGGTGTTAACAGTGTACAGTACTTATTGTGAAATATGGATTTCATACAAACAGTTGTTGTACCTTAAATTCACACCAACCACGAGACGGGGAAAACACATGAATTTGTAACAGCTGATAACAAAATCACTGGAGTAGATATCTTAAACATCCGAGTGGCCATCCCACTCTTTTGTGACCAACAAGTGCATTTGTACTCGTTTATATGGTTGGGATCAATTCTCGGTAAAAAAAGTACAAGAACGTTTTCTGATGCGTTTTTTTACTGTAAGTAAATAAGTATTGAAATAACTATAACCTATTCAAAAATTCTGTTTGACGCCAGTTAAAAGAAACAAGTACTATTCAGGGCAAGATTCCAACAATGCATGAGTTTACAGGCTAGTCCCAGCAACACTATAGTCCCAGCTTACTTTTCAAAATGTTACCTAATGTGTTGAATGCGTCCGTTTACTGCGTAATTATATGATAAGATGTAGCTAATTATTGAAGAGAAATATGAGATTTAGAGAAAAATAAAAATAAAAATCGGTTTATCATGTAACCTCTATTGACAGGAACCTGTGCATTCCGTACGCACCTTCGAAATCGATCTTCTCACTTAACAGGTCAAAAATTAGGTCATACAGAAATAGATGATTGATTATCTGTGCTATGCAAGTAATTAATATGTGTACGGGATAGATACAAAGGTATACATGTATGGGCATGTATGACCGACGTACTTATATAGCTTTAAAGTATAGTTTGGCTTTAGACAATTAAGTGTTGTTCCTAATGATGTTTGACAAATAAAACCAAGCAATATTGAATCAGCAATATATATATGTGTGACGCGGCATTATACAATGCTTTATTGAATTCACGTTTCACATCACACAACTGTTTATAATGATAACAAATACATTTGTACTCATCTGAATATTTAACACCTAGCGCTGCGCCTCACACCTAAAATGGATTGGCAAAAGTGTTATGTACTATCTCAAAAGGCTAGTGATTCATTGGTTTACGAACATTCATCATTCTAGAAGTGATTGAAGCACACTGTTTTCAATCAGCAAAATGATTGTTGCATTTTTGAAGGAATAGATTCATGAAAAACTTAAGGTTTAGTTTTTTAACTAACATAAACCCTACCAGTAACCACCTTCATCGTTGTTTCATAAAAATACACAATAAGTTGTGTTTAGTGCTTGCTAAATTATTTTGGTGAAAAGTAAAATAACGGTATTTTGAGAATTTATCAGAATTGTAATAATCATTTCACAACAGCCACGGTTAAATATCTCAAAACATATCGGAGTCAAACGAAAGGTTAAATGTACGTGTGTACCCAAAACCACTAGTGCTGGCATTTAAATTTACAAGTCCAATAAGGACATGTACAATAAATATGTGAGTTTATATGCAGTTCTGTGGAAATCTGGTCCTGTACAGTAGGAAAATGAATACAACTGAACCCGATGTGCGGAAACTGGTAACCATATGAGAATTATATTCAAAGTTTTCCTATTTTCTAGACTCAATTACAATTTTCTGAGGCTTTGATATGCAATCAAATTGGTACATGTCCGGTTCAAGGTCCAGTTTCCGTCCAGGAGGCACGGCTACTTTAAACTGACGGAAAAACATGGCCTGTAAAAAAGGTGAAAACCATTTTACAGAAAATATAATTCAATATGTAAAGTTATCATTTGGTTGACAATCACACCTATCAATACCAGTACGTAAAAAATTATAAAAATATTCGGACATGATTGCCTCGGTAAACCCTATGTGTAGCTCTCAGTTAAGGAAAATATTGATTATCAAAACAGGCATATAGACACTGCAAGATAAACCTTTCTCCTGTAACGTGGTCGAGCAAAGAAGTTAATGAAAAATATCATTAATGAAAACGATTTTTACTAGGCGCCATCTCCATTATTTCATTTATCTTATGTGCAAACTATATCTTTTCAAAGAAAGCAAACAAGAACATAACTAGAACTTACTATGGAGATTAACAAGTTCGATCTAGCAACAGCTTCGCCAAGACACTTCCTTTTCCCAGCAGAGAAAGGCAGCCATATTTTAGGGTCAATTTGCTTCAATGCGCCATCTTTCGTCAGAAATCTCTCTGGTTTAAATTCTTCTGGTGACTCCCATTTCCTTGGGTCAAAATGAATCACCCATAAGTTTGGATAAACGACTGTGCCCTTTGGAATATCATACCCACCTGGTTTAAATGCGTTGTAAAGATAAACATTAATTTGTTTAAAAGTGCTTTGAAACGGTATTTTGAGACTTTATCAGAATTGTAATAATCTTTTCACAAGAATTATTCATCTCACTCACTGATGTGTTGTCGAGATACCTGTACATATTAAAAAAGTAAAATAGTAACTATTTGTGATTTCTTCTTTTTAATTAATGAAAATTAAGGCTCTCAGTTACCAAGTTTCGTGTCAAGCAGTGCTTTATGTGGAATATGGCACATGGTCCAGCCGGACGAAGTCTCAATGTCTCTTTAAAAACCGCCTCCCAGTATTTCAGCCTCGCCTTGCTTTGATGGAGGTCGTTCACGTCTGAATTAAAAATAATAATATGTGAGTTTGTCTGATTTATAATTTTGGCCGACAAAATGCGTGAAATGATGGCTTTCTAAATTATTACCAGATAAGTATATGCAATGCAATATATGTATGTTCTGAAATAATAATAATAATAATAATAATAATAACGTGACATTTTCTCCATGCCAAACGTTTTTACTGAATACAATATGAAGATAACATGCCAGTATATTGATCAATTTAGTAAGACAATGTCTATAAAACAATTATTCCTATAGCAGTTAATTGTTTATTGACCAGTTTTATGTGTCCAGTGCTTTAATATGAATACTATAAGATACTAAAATTGTACTTTTTTGAGAGAGGTATAATCTTACCAAAGACGTCTATAATCTCCTGATGCATCTTCTCTTGCACGTCTGGTTTGTCTGCTACGTACAGAAGAACCCATTTGAATGTTTCTGTTGATGAAAGTGTCCCGCCTAGATACAACCGCAGAACATAATTACTTAAAAAAAAGATTGACAAAACAAAAATGCGGATATTCCCACGGCCATTTGCAACCGGGTGAAATATGAAAGAGAATTGAATTGGCTGTTTTATTATTATATTTCCATCTGTCATTTTGTTTGAAATGCACGGACATACATAAAACAAATTGGTCTGTCAGTCTTGAGTTCCATGCGGTATAAGAAACATATTTTAAATAATATGTTTGATTGCACATGTACTGTCGTATATGTATAAATCTAAAAATTTTAAACTCATATTGTTGTATATTTCTGTGACATATGATATTACACGCCAAAGCGTTTTGCAAAACATTTTGTTGTTTCTTTCTGGCAACCAGAAATCAGTGCAGGTTTTCAAATGATGCTGGCATCCAGATATTAAAATCATTTATGCAGAGGGAGGAAATAGTTTAGAGGGTGGGTTTTGGCGGTTATAAATTTTTGTCGGGGAAGAATGCGTTAAAGCCCTGGGTGAATACAACTCACTGTGCGACGGGATAAATTAACTTCCAAACACAATTCTGGCATCCAGGGAGGGAGAGGTTCCGTTAGTCGTACATAATGATGGATTTAGCTTGATTTAAATTTCAAAAAACGATTATGGCAACCACACACTAGAGTCGTTAGATATGTAGAGATCTCGTTAATTCTTATTCCACAAAAGAACATGGTTACTTACCGATAAAAGTGTTTGATACTATCTGGATGATGTGATCATCTGTCAAAACTTCCGTAACGTCTCCATCGATGCTTTTGCCATACTCTTGTCGTGCTAACAACAGTTGGTCGGTGAGGTCTCTAACGTTTTCTGATCGTGTGTTTTAACAAGAAATAAGATTATAAAAAAGGAGATTTATTATATATATATACATACGACGTTGTTTGTTTGCGGTTATGTGAATAACAGATCTCGTGACCATTACGGATTTTTGGTTATATAAACGCTATGGTAACGTTGTGATCAGGTCCTGTGTTTGCTGGGTAAAATATCAAATTAAATTGCTTAAAANAAAATTATAAAAAGGAGATTTATTATATATATATACATACGACGTTGTTTGTTTGCGGTTATGTGAATAACAGATCTCGTGACCATTACGGATTTTTGGTTATATAAACGCTATGGTAACGTTGTGATCAGGTCCTGTGTTTGCTGGGTAAAATATCAAATTAAATTGCTTAAAAACAACATACGGTGTAAAGGGCTTTGGTAATGCATGTTTTTTATCATATGAAAACAACAAAAGGCCAATTTCCAATACACGTGCTTTTATAGCATACATTTGTGAATAGACTTCTAGATTAATGATAGCAAATAAAATCCACCCCTACCTGGATTTAGAGTGGCTTCGTGTTCCTTTAACTTTCGTCTATGAAAATCTTTCAACTCATTGGCAATTCTTTTTGCTCTGAGGGTTGACGGAATAGGGACATGCTTAAGAAATGGGATGAGGTCAGCAGGCAGACGACTTCCAAATATAACAGTCATATTTTCTGAGAACTTTTTCTTAGCCACACGAATTCTGGATCGTCGATTTCATAACTAAAGGCAAGATAAACGATGCACCCTATCATAGCAATGTCTTGGTTTTACAATAAGGGAACACACTGAGAAGGAACTTTTAAGCAGCATAACATCCTAGAGGTATATGAATGCCCATTGTGTGAAAACCAAGTGAACATAGGAAGTACTAAGGGTTACAACCCCTATTATTCTACAGACGTGTAGTTCGCGTACTGGTTTAGATGCGATTTATGCTCTGTGAAGCGACTCACTTAACTAAATCGTCATCGTAGAGTTATTTGAGATAGAAAATAATGTGAAGTGCGATTTATAAAAGGGTGAATAGAAAGGCACGTACATATATACTACAGGTCTACAGGTTGTTTCAATAAATTGGTCAAAATAACGAACACATTACTAAACGACCGAGAAGCGTTAACAATAGTATATATAGCTTACCTCTTGCCAAAAGCAAACCTACAGATGATATTGTAAATGAGTAAACTGATGTAGAAATCGACATCTACGGGTTCAGACTGCTTTGCCAACAAAGGGGCAACCTCCTCGAATGCCGACTTTGCCAAACAATCTAATTTGCCGCTAAAGACGTATGACCTAAAATGGAAATTATTTTTGCTTTTTGAGTAACGCATGGCTTCTGGAGTGGGGATGATCTGCTTGTGTGTGTGTGGAGGAGGAGGCGGATTTCAACCGTTGTGTTTGTCTTATGGTAACCATATGTTTCTTCTTTTCGTGATACATGTCTACACGATTTTCAATAAACGGAATTTGAGGCATTTAAGGAGTGTAAGGAGAAACGTCGAGCTTTGTTGCAATAATTGGAGCTTTACAATCAATAATAACCGGTAAAGGGGATTTATGTACAGAGCACTGAGTCAGTTTACCTGAGGACTTTCACTGCCATCTTTTTCTGCACTGTCCATACAGGGCCATAATCAGCAAATGCAACATCCTTGTATCCACCGGACATTAGATAAACTGCAACGGGGAAATACATATTTATAAAACTATTCCCTGTATAATGGATAAGATTAAGGAAGCGGTTTGTATTTTTAATTTAAAATCTTGAAATGCATTTTTCGGGATACGGAGCATATGCACTGTATTTGGAAAGTTATTTTTAATTTTTCATACCTCATGGCCAGAAATGCGCAGCATTCACGCGACACGCGAGTGCGCAACAGTAGGGCTTCACGTGACTCAACTAGCCAATCATAGCACAACAATGGCATCGCACACAGACTCTGTGATAAGTTCTCAAGGAGCCAAAATGGACTACTTGGACTGATAGTAGGGTGCCTAGGTGAAAATACTGAAAAGCTCATAACACACATATTACAATTTCTAGATATAGTGGTTCCATCACCACAGAATTTAACCTTGAAACTTTGCCTACTACCACATTCAATATCAGGGTTGTCAGCCAAATAGGATTTGATGGCAAAAATAAACTCAGATTCAACATCTATCTCAGCCCCATCATGTGGTCCTGGAGTACGTTGCACATGACAAATCACATTCATCTCTTTACGCATTTGTTTTATTAGGTAGCTTTTGGGCAGCCCATTATCAAGTAGTGTTAGTTCATGGTAACAAGCGTCTGACATGTGCAGAGGAGTTTATTGTAATATATATTGTTCTTATTGTTACATTATTAAATCTAACTCTGTATCCAAGTAGTAACTATACTGCACCAAGTCAGGTACTGATTATGTGCAGAGGTCATATATTCCAGAATAGGCCATTACCACTAATTTATAACTTTTATTTTTGTTTAATATGTTATTCATGAAAGAGTCCATGAAAGATTATTTTAAGTTGTTAAATCGTGATCTTATTCTTTTTATATTCAAATAAATGAATAATTTGGGTAAAATTGGTCTTCCACTTCTTATTTGCATTTTTCCTTTACTACAAGATTATTTAGGAACAGTTGCAGCATTAAAAATTAAAATAAATAGCAATCTGAAAGACGAATTTTGCATAATTACTAAATGATGACAGGAATTTTGGATTAAGAGATTAGTTAAAAAGTGATATTGTCAGTCAATTTATGTAGAATCTGATAATATGATTGAAAATACTGATTGAATTCTTGGCCTTGCACTGGGCAGTTTTACATTTGTGCCAAGTGCTTTTTTGGACTCCATTGTACAGTGGTAAAAGTTCTTCAATTGCCATGAATGTTTTTAATCAGACTCTGTATGGTGCTGCCATTCGCTGGTGCTATTGGCAACGAATAAGTTTGCCTTTGTTTCTGAGTGAATCTACCGTCTAAATCACTATTTCTGACAATATTTGCGTTTTGCTGAGGGTTGGCTAGGCAATGCACGGCAAACTTCTAGCTAAGTACGTGTGTACAACAGAATTTTTTTAAAAACCCTAGCGATATTTGGTCAGGAGTTGCTTGAAGCACAGCACAGCGTTGATGTCTATCGGCATCAGGCCGTTAGTTTGTCAATTATCCGCCATGGGCCCACGAATCGCGAACCCATTCATTTTCCTTTGGCAATCTAGCAACTCATTAAAAATGCACGCATGCGCAGTGGGCTAGGCGTGACGTCATGCAGTGCATTTCTGGGGATGTGCATGGCTCAATTCCCTGGGAAACAATTCGCCTACACGCAAACATATATTTCTATGTGCCACAAAAATTGAATAGATACAAATATATCTGACCCAGCTAAATGGATTCACAATTATTGCAGTTTTTTTTTAAAGCAACAGATACCATAACATGTAGCCTACATACGCGACCAAAGAGATGTGTCCCTGCCGGCGAATTCCTCTGACTTTTCCACCAATAACTCATTCACCAAATCAACTGAACTCACCACAATGGAGTTATGTCCAAAACCTGTGGATAATCCATCAAAAAATACTGTATTAATTATGTCGTAAATTAACATCCTTCTTGTCTCATATACATTCGCAGATAACTGCTGCGGAAAGGCCAGTCCGGGGTCCAGTATGATAATTATAGGTTAGGGTTGGTCGGAGAATTGGGATGAGTATATGAGACGAATGGCACCTGTACAAAGTAATGGGAAGCGGACTACGATTCCTAGCGGACTACCGTTCCTGTCAAGCGGGTTACAGTGGCAACAATTACCTAGCATTGTACCTTCCACGCATGTTCACAGCCAAGCCTTGCCGTGTTTCTTGGACCGTGTATTTTATGCAACTATGGTTGTTAGCACTTGGTTAAAAATGAGACTTACCAAAATTTACTGTGAATATGTCTCCATATTTCTTTTCCATTTCTGCAAAAACCGTAAACAGTCGTGAATCTTTCGAAAATGCTGAAATAAAATAACCAATACATAAATATCATTCTGCTAAAGTATATTTATCATTTACGCTGATTTGCGACTACTACAGGTAAAACAATAAAACTATAGAAGTCGGCTCCCATTAAGCTTTAACACGCACACACAATATATATTGAAACAATGAAAGCGCTTGAAATACGTTACCACAAAGACATCAGAGGAAACATCGTATCACTGTCTGGATATAAGCGTATTTAAAGTATTAAAATGATAATAAAGAAATAAATGATGATTGAAAAATCAATTTGGATCTCACCAAAGTAATTCCCCAATATTGGTAGCTGTGGAGGACCTGGCGGCAGGCTGTGTCTTTTCCGTCGTAGATATGCCATCGCCAACAGGAACACAAATGTGCCGACCAATGTGGTCTGCAAGTTAGGCCAGACAAACACGCTTAAGATGTCCATGTTTCCTAAAAATATAAAAATACCTTTATCTGCCCAATGACCTGATTAAAAAACATTTTAATATTAAAATATGTCTACCTTGAAGGGTTTGCATGTGTTCATTTAACTGTTTAGACTAAAATAAAGAAATGTACGAAAATATATTTAAAGTTGCTCTAAACCTTTCCTTTTAATTATTTTTTATTAAAGAGATAACAACTGTTCATTTTGGTCCAAAAATTGAATTTCCTGGGGTAAAGGACAATTTTCCAAAACTCACCAATGGTTTATGAATCCATTCCGACATTAAAAGTTAGTCTCTGTTTTTTTTTTTTTTTTTTTTTTTTTTTTTTTTTTTTTTTTGGAGATTATTTCAGAGTGTATCCATCTCTGGAGGCCACGTGATGTGATGGGAAGCACAAATTCCAGAATAATTGTGGTAACTGCCGTTTTGGTGGTAAAATAATATATTTTATATTTCTAAGAGCTGTTTATAGGGTACAGTACTTATTGTGAAATATGTATTTTATACAAACAGTTGTTGTCCCTTTAATCTTGATTTATGAGTAAGACATTCAAGAAGTTTTTGGGTTCCTGGGATTAAATGGGCTCATGTAACATTTTACGCCAATATTTTTTTCTAGTTATCCTTGAAAACTTGTAATTCAAACGTTATGTCAACGTTGCATCACGCGTGGCCTGACCTGACTTGCACAACGGGGAGCAAACGAACGTGCCTGTAGACGGTTAACAATTTCTGCAATAGTCTTCACGCTTATGTCCAACAGCACTGCATAATCTATAACTATTGAAATCACTGCACCCCATTCAAAAATTCTGTTTGACGCCAGTAAAAAACAAGAAGTGCTATATTTCAATCAGCCGCGCTTATGAATCCAGCTCAAGATATCTCACGTGCCGATGCCCCAGCTTGAAGCCGTGCATTTGGGAACTGCAGACTATCCATATAAAAATAAGGTAGATTGAGAACAATTGAACTACTATTGAAGGTTTCTTTGCTAAAATACCTTTTTTGTATCCTAAAGACAGAAATCCAGTCACTGCATGCTCTAACACTTCTGCTCCCTTCCCAGTGCCACCACAGGACTTGACTATGAATCGTGCGGTTGGCGCATGCACACTTAACCTAGATAGGAGGCAACTTCATCTCGAGGTCAAGGATACCAGGTTGTAGATTTCAGTATTGCCAGCTGGATCTTGATTTCATATATAACCCATATCAGCAATACTGACTCTAGAAACCAGTGTCAGACTGGTAGTTCGGCAAAATTTTGCCTGGGTCGCTTCCATATTTGGAAGTCACATGTCTCGTACGTTACAGCTCTGCACCGCCTGGAGCTGTCTTTCCCGCCTTGCGCTGACGTCATCTCGTGCAGACGAGACAAAAAAGCAAAGTGGCTGACGTGGAATTTGAAGTTTGATTTAAGAATACCTTGCAATCAAAAGTCAGTGCCACAATACAAGCACCTTTCCGCTTTAAAAACTGATTTTTGGTGTAGCCATTTAGTGGTATTGGACTTACAGTGAAGCTGTCAAACTTGGCACACGACATACACGTGTCTGGTGTTTATATCTTTAGAGATTTAGAGAAAAAACAGCATAACCTTTGTAAAATTGGTCTGAACAAGCTCATTATCGAACTCAACCTGTATTTTATGAATGCTCACTAGTTCCATAAATTTGAAGACAAAGGTAAAACGGTTTGCCACTTAGCGTGCTATCGCTGAAAGTGCAAGGCAACGACGGTGACGGCGACGACGAAAACAACGGCGACGACAGACACAGGTAACGGCTATATGCATAAATGTGTTCAAGTTGTATCAAATGAAACGCTGCGTTGTTTCGATCGCGAAATGCTTATGATGGGTAATAGTAAAGAGGAAATTAGGTGGAACAATATCACTCCCTTTCCACTTGGACAACCATTTTCTTGCTCAAAATTCACAATAATACGGAATCCTTAAGCATAAAATAGACTTTCTTGTTCCAGTGTGCTTGACTACTTTGTTAATAGAAGACGCCCAAGCAGTATGTTGCTTCAGGAATTACGGTTATTCTCCAGACGTCGAGTCGATAAAGTTTATTTGTATTTTTCATAAGATTCTGGACAGGGTTGGAGAAATGCCTTAGCTACTGACTTAACGTACATGTTTTTGACAATAGGTGAACCTTCAGTGTTAACTGACTAAATTTCTTTGCATTTATACAGATGACACTTTACCTGTGAAGTCATAATAGCGATTTGGGGGTAAAAATTCCAAAGTATGGTTCTCAAAGCTAGTTCTCCCTTTCCTAAGAACCCACCGTCTGAACCCCAATTTAATGACAGCATACATATACAACAGTTTTTTCTTTAAAGCCTTATATTAGCTCAGAGTTTATCGTTAAAAGGGAAAACAATGACTTCATTCAACAAATCACTGCAATTAGGGGCTCATGACCCCATGGCAAAAAATTTAAAACATAGTGAGCGCCCCAGATTGAAGCCCATACACTTGTAGTCAACTATGCCAATTTCCGTGATTAAATCTTGTAATGTCGATTGCTATTTCAATTCAAAATAGAAAAGTGTATAATTGACGATAAACGCTCGGAGGTGTTTATGCTTAATGCTTAGAAACAAAAAATATAAACGCCGAATTTTATATTTATTTATTTTACATAGGATTTTTATTGATTTCAATCAACAAAATGATACATGCCTTATTGAAGGATTAGAAGCACGAAAAAAAATTTTGACAAACATGAACCCTGCGAACAGCCTTAATCGCTGTTTGATATCAACACACAATAAGTTGTGGTTAGTGTTTGCTAAATTCTTTTGGTGAAGAGTAAAATATATAGATATTTTGGTGGTGCACAACAGCCACGGTTAAATATCTCAAAATATAGCGGAGCAAAACGAAAGGTCAAATGTTCATGCATGCCCCAACCACGGCCGGTTACAGTTGCAAGTCCAATAAAGAGATGTACGTAAATATGTGACATTTATATGCAGTTCTGTGGAAAATCTGGTCCTGTACAGTAGGAAAACGAATACAACAAAACTTGACGTGCGGGAACTGGTAACCACGTGAGAATCAAATTTAAAGTTAGCCGCGTGTCTTCCTATTTTCTAGACTCGATGACAATTTTCTGAGGTTTCGATATGCAATCAAATTGGTACATGTCCGGTTCAAGGTCCAGTTTCTGTCCTGGAGGAACTGCCACTTTAAACTGACGAAAAAACATGGCCTGTAAAAAAAGATAAAAAACATTTTAGAGAAAATATAATTCAATAATTAAAGTATTCATATGGTTGACAATCACACCGATCCAAACCAGTACGTAAAAAAGTATGAAAATATTCGGACATGCTTCCCTTGGTAAATCTTATCTGTAGCTCTTAATTAAGGGAAATTTTGATTATCAAAACAGGTATATAGACACTGCAAGATAAACCCTCCTCCTGTAACTTGGTCGAGCAAAAAAATTAATCGAAAAAATTATAATTAATGAAAACAATGATTTTTTTTACTAAGCACCATTTAATTTCACTTTTATTATGTACTAAATATATCTGTTCTATTTAAAGAAAGCAAACAAGACCATAAGTAGAGCTTACTATGGAGATCAACAAGTTTGACCTAGCAACAGCTTCGCCAAGACACTTCCTTTTTCCAGCAGAGAAAGGCAGTCAAATTTTAGGGTCAATTTGCTTCAATGCGCCATCTTTCGTCAGAAATCGCTCTGGTTTGAATTCTTCTGGTGACTCCCAGTTTCTTGGGTCAAAGTGGATCACCCATAAGTTTGGATAAACGACGGTGCCCTTTGGAATTTCATAGCCACCTTTTTGAAATGCGCCGTTAAAATAAACATCATTTTGTTTGAAAGTGTTTTGAAACGGTATTTTGAAAATTTATCAGAATTGTAATAATTTTTTACAAGAATAAAAGTAATCTCACTCACTGAGATGGTGTCGAGATACCTGCACAGCTTTAAAAATAGTAAAAAAAAAACATATGTGATTTCTTCTTTTTAATTAATGAAAATTAAGGCTCTCAGTTACCAAGTGTCGTGTCACGTAGTGCCTTATGTGCAACGGCACATGGTCCAGCCGGACGAAGTCTTAAGGTCTCTTTAAAAACCGCCTCGCAGTATTCCATCCTCGCTTTGCTTTGATGGAGGTCGTTCACGTCTGAATAATAATAATAATAATAATAATAATAATAATAATAATAATAATAATAATGTTACATATAAGTCCATAAATAGGGTTTTTCTAAAACAGTATAAGAATATAACATGACATTAAGCATTTTTCAATTAAGTTAGAAAAAAAAAGATACATTAGGATAACCAGTGTTATTGAATATTCGAAAAGTGGTGACCTCCATGCGACCCCACAAACAAAATTTGTGCAGAACTGATTGTTAATAGCCTCTTTGCAATCCCACTAACGTAATTACAAAATGTGAAAAATTGTTTGTACATGTATATAATAACTTTTGCTGACTCGTCACATCTTAATTTTTAGGATGATGAGTCTTTTTGAATATTTTATATTTTTTATCCTTAAGGTCATAACATTTAATACAGGCAACAATTTGCTATATTGTTATTACTGTTAAAATGATAAGGATAGTGGGGTTATATAATAAAAGCGGCCTTGTTTGGCCAAATTTTGAAAAATCGATATTTTTCCTTGCCTTCTTTTTTATTATGAATGGGACTATGAAAGTTGGTGGTACATTGGGAAGGAGGGGACATTAAAAAATTGTGCTTATATGACAAATATCTTGTAACCAGTCATTTAACAGATGCTGAAAAGGGACCAGAAACATTACCGCATTGCTTCTCTCAAGAATTACTTGCATTTCTGTTGAATGGTACAAAATGTCAATATGCCGGAGCAATACACACACTACCTTAAGTGTAATGTGATATTCCATTC